CACCCCTTCCTGGGGACCACCCTGTTACAGAAGGGCCAACAATCCTTTCCAGTTTGTGTCCCAAACTGCCCACATTTTGTCCCACTAAGTTCAAATCTGCTGAACGTGCTGGAAACTTATTCTGGAAATCAGTACATAGTTATTGCTGAGAAAATGGAGCCTTCTCAGTTAAAAGAAATCAGCATAATCCTGTGCCTTGTCTCCTGCCCTTACCATGTACTATGTAGTTCTATGTAGAGTCTATGTAGTTCTTAAGAAAATGATCTTAGGATCTGGTGTGATGATTCCTTTTTTACTCACACTTGAAGAAGCAGAAGTCTGATTTTTATCAATGGGTATTTCCTCTAGATGGGAAGCTTTTTCTGAGACTTAAAGGCACCGTTTCATTTTTCTTGTGTTCTGGTGGCCTTTTGTCTGTGCGCCCTTGTAAATAACCCCCATATATATACCAGGAGCAGGAGCAAACAGAAAAGTATTTATTTAGACATAAGATCAAATTAGGGACTGAGAATTACTGTCTTAACTTTTTCCTAGGGGGCACATGAGAGATAATAATATGTATGCTTTTTATTTGTAAGGGTTCATTTTGAATATATTGGTAGAAATGCATTATTGCAATTGGAATTTCTCAGAATTGTACTTAATGGGGAACATGATTCTACTTATCAGCCTGAGACCTACAGCCATCTCCTGATGCAGATAAACTACAAGACTGTAGTTCTGCTTGGGGCTACAGATTCTATTTTGTAGAATAAATTGTTGTCATGTTCGACACAAGCCACAATCTTCTGGCAGCTTTGCTCAAGGAGAACTGGTGATTATTGTTTGGCACCCCCTCCTGATCCAGCATGGTGCCTTGTCCATCACAGGTACTTCCCAAAGGCCTGTTGACTGGGCTGAATTTGAAAAGCTAAGAGACCTTCAGGTATGACAGGAAGCTGTCCCGAGAGGCAAGTAGGCAGCTAGGAAACAGAGCTGCAATTTTTCCATGGCCTTAGTTACCAGGTTCCCAGGGTAGACTCAGTGTTGGAAGCCTCGCTGAGCTGATGTTGGGTGGTTGTTTTTTATGTTCTGCTTTTGTTCTAGGCAAATTGTGTCTGTGATAGAAACCTTTCAGATGTTTCGCTCTTTGGGGAAATGTGGCTCCTTGGGGAACTTTGATGAATTGCTTTGCCTAACAAGGCAGGTTGTGTGTTACCTTGTATCATGCCAGCTTTAGCTTCATTGCTTGGATCACTGAAGCAGAGAGGGGTGCCCTTCTGCTGCCAGGATTCCTAAGGAAGCCAGGAAGTCAGAGCTGCTGATTGGCACCAGCTTGGAGGGTAATCATTCCTGCGAGGCTTGGGCTGTTTACTCTGTCACTCCAGCACTGGTGGACACTGGGTGTGGTGGGCATGCTTGCCTAAGTACCTGTTTGTAGAACACCAGGGCAGAGCGAAAACCGGCAGTAATCTGAAACCAGTCCTGTGGGTTTTCTGTCTTTGGCCCCGCCAGCGAAAATTTGCATTCCAGATGAAACCTGCAGGGAGCGGAAGAAAGCAGTTAAAAAAGCTTCAAGGGCATTAACCTAATAGCTTTTGAGATTTCTGGGCACTTTTGTTTGTTTGTTTGTTTGTTTGTTTGCTTTGGGCCTTCTAAGTGTCTGTTGATCTGTGTGGGCTGCTAGTTTTTTGTTGCTGTGTGCAATTTTTTTTTTTTTTTTTGGCCTGGATGGCACAGGCTTGTGATCGTAATTTAGATGGCAAAAGAGGGCCCATAAGAAGTATTTTAGTCACTTTCTGCTGATTCACTTCTGAATTTCTTGGGCTGCTGGGGCGGGGAGGGGGGTGTTTGAGGGCTGTCAGGATCAGCTTGCCGGCTCAGCACTTCCAGGAGCCTCGAGTTGCTCGCCAAGGAGGAAGTTGCAAGAGGCCAGGAGCTTGGCGGGCACCGGGGCGGAGCTCGTGGCGAAGTCCTGCGCCGGGATGACCCAAGGCGCGCTGCCTTTCCCGGTGACAAAAAGCCTTTTGTCGCCCGGAATAAATACCGAAGCCCCAGAGGAGCTGCCTCCCCCGTCCGTGCGTAGTAAGGTGCACAGCCTCCGCTGCTTGTGGGCACCAAGCTCCACGAACTTTTTATGGTTGCCCCGGGCCACCATCGCGCACGCCGGAAGGGGCGCGCAGTGACTGCCCTGCAAGAGGCCAGGAGTGCGGGCTGTGCCCGGGCCGGCCGGGGAGCTCGGCCCCCGGGTCCTGTTGCTCTCTGCTGTGCAAGTTAAGAGCCGATGGAGTGGATAAAGTGAGAGAGCCGGGCAGGTAACCAAAGCCAGAGCCCCCGCCGAGGGCCTGACCGGGACATGGAGGACGCTGGTAGCTCTCTGAATGGCAGTGATGTCTCAGAACCAGAAAAACCTGAAGCTGGACTTGAAATGGCTCAGTCGATCCTGAGCAAGTTCTCCATGAAAACCCTGTTTGGATTTCCGAGTAAGTTGGAATCTGCGAAGCCTGAAGAGGAAGATGCGGTGCTGAAGGCGTTCCGCAAGCTGGACAAACCCAGGAATGGCTCTCATCAGCAAGAGACAGAGGCCCAGGCTCCTCCTGGCCTTGGGAATGATGGGGAGCCTGCGAGCCTGGCGACAGACACGGAGATGGTGTTGGAGGGAGGTCAGAGGCCAGCAGAGGCAGGGATGTCTCGCCCTGGTCAAGAGCTGCTTCCACCCAGGGCTCTGAGTGTGAGCAGAGATGACGCCATTGTGGTGCATGGGACCCTGGTGAACACTACCAGTGACTCGGACTCTGATGATGGTGACCAGGAGCCAGAAGAGGGGCTCGGTACCAGTGACTCCAACCCCCCTACTGTTGATTTACCTGAGCTCTCTCAGGAGGCCAAAGAAAGGTCAGGAGGTGATAGGGAAAATTCTGCCCCCGGGGAAGGGGATGATGCAGAGCTCTGCGTGGAAGGATCTCAAAGGACTCCATCTGAGCTAAGCAGCAGCCCGGAATCTGGTGGTGGTAACCTTCAATCGGAGCACAACCCCAGCCAGGAACAAGCTGGAGAAGGTTCCCCGATCCCACCTGTGGCTGCAGACCAGCGCTTGCCTGTTGGGGTTACTGAGAATGCTTCTAAAAAAGTCTCTGGAGACAAGTCATTCCAGCTTCCAGCCTTTTTTAGTGGGTTTCGTGTGCTGAAGAAGGGGGCCACATCTGAGGATGCGGAGACCATCACTGAAATCAAACCCAAGGACGGGGACCTGGCTTTGCTCAAATTGACCCAACCTGTTCAAAAGTCCTTAGTGCAGGCAGGGCTGCACCCGGTGAAGACTGGGGAGAAAACAACAGATCCAAAGGCCACTCCCACTCTCCTGGAGCAGCTTTCTCAGCTGCTCAGCATTGACATGCCCAAAGCTGAACTGAGGGCAGAAGACCCTGAGCTGCCCAGGGGAGAAGAGATGGGTTGCAGCACTGTCCAGGACAGCCGGAGTGGCCCTGGAGAAGCCCGCACCCTGGGGGGAGAGGTCAAGCCAAAGCCCCCAGAAACTGCCCTGGAGGCCTTTAAAGCCTTATTCATTCGACCCCCCAAAAAGGGCACCACGGCCGATACCTCAGAGCTGGAAGCTCTCAAGCGCAAGATGAGGCATGAGAAGGAGTCCCTGAGAGCCATGTTTGAACCGTCCAAGTCAAGGCCAGGGGATGGGCCATCTGATTCCAAAAGCGTATGTAGCATTGGCTTTTGGGGTTTGTCATAAAATGCCATGCTGTATTTCTTCTTGGGTTTCCTGTCCAAGTGAGCCCCAGTTTTAGATGAAACTGGTGAAATCATCCTTATAAGGAATGTGGAATCGGACAGACGTACTTTCCATATTTTCTGGATTGTGACAAGAGGGATATTTGTAAAGATGTGTGGGTAGGAAAGGGAAGCTGTCACTCAGTTTAGACATTAATAGTAAATGTTCTTTCTCTATTAAGCTGTATAAGAAAGCAATGCAAAATGAAAATAGAGTCAGATTTCCTTACCACTTAATTATACCTCTGTGAAAACAATGTTTTTCCTTTGAAAGTTATCTAGGAGGCAAAATACACATGTGTGATGTGATCAAAATGTTCTGTGTTGGTTACAGGGCATCCTGATAGAGGACTGGATTTAGAATGAGACCTGGATATTAATTCTAACTCTGCCCTTTACTGCCTGGGTGACCTGGATCATCGCCGAATCTCAGTACTTCACATTGCTAATTAAATTCAATTTTTTTCCCCTATAAAGCGAATGAGATAGCCTTCCTACTTAAGCTATTTTTATAGAAGCTAATTTTTAAAACTATAGGAATGTCATATTGTATTTAGTTTTTAACTGTAACCCAAGACATAAATAAAGGTTTCGGGAAAATTACCATTTTAACTGATCAAATATAATGAGAGGATGCTAATTGTATTTGCTGTTCTCATGAAATATTAAGACCTATTGGACAGGCCTTTGCTAGTCTTATAAATTACCTGAATTAATTTTCTTTGAATAGTAACAGCTTTCATAACTGAGAGATCATGTGCTAACATCATATAATCTCAACAGCCATACAAGATGAGGGTTATTGTCTTTCTTTTGCTGATGAGGAGACTGAGATTCGGCGATGACCTAAAGCTAATGTCCATGGAAAATGGAAAACTAGTCTTTCTATGGAAAATCTGCTTGGAGTTGTTTGGGACATATTTATAAATGTTCCCATAAATGTACCTGATGAAGTACGTTGGTATTCTTGTATTTTCAGCTCAAATTACATTTGACTTTATGATAGTTTTCTTGTCAAAGTCACCTATTAAGTGTTGTGTAATGCTGGCACTGTGTTGTTGTTTTCACGTCACCCCCGCTGGTCACTTCAGTGTTTCAATTACAGTGAATGACAGCAATGTGCATCTGGCTATTAAAATTAATTTTAGAGTTAGTCATCATGCATGTTTTCAGGAATTAATTGTTTCTGGCCACCATTCATGTTATTTACTCTTTTCTTTCGCTCATTTTTTCAACAGCCTGACCACAGCCCCACAGAGCAGGACGATAGGACTCCTGGCAGACTCCAAGCTATCTGGCCACCACCAAAGACAAAAGACGCAGAAGAAAAAGTGGGATTGAAGTACACTGAAGCAGGTAATGTGAAAAGAAGCCAGGTCCCAGGAAGAAATCCCTTGCTGCAATGCCTTTTAGTTCTAGTTCAGTAGACTCTCAGAATTTTTTTGTTTTCTTTGTAAAATGTAATGCTGAAGGCTTACTCTTACTGGTTTTTTGCTGCTAATGTGAACCTTTTATCATTAATGCATCTCTTGGAGATGAAAGGTGAATACCGTGGAATGAATGAAAGGGGGGCACATGTGTGAAGGAGGAGAACCTTTGGGGAACTAATGAGAAGTTAGGTAACAAGTTCCTCAGGAAGCAGGTGCTTGGCTCTCGTATAATGTTGTGGGAGCTGCCAGGGTTGCTGGAGACGCAGAGTATGATTCTCCGGAGCTGTAATCTGATTTGCTGTTTGTCTTTTGAGTAATACTTTGAGCTACAGGAACTTTGTGCAGGGTGAATGTACAGATAGCCTATCAGTTACTCTTTCACTTTGGTTAGACAAAGCTTGCTTTAATGCATGACCAATTTTAAAGCAATCTAACCCTCTGGAAGCCTTCCCAGGCGCTTTGCTTGAAAATATTTAAATAGAGTGAGAATCTAGAGCTTTTATTCTTTAACTGAAAGGTTCACATGACATTAAATAAAAAATGAATGAGAAGGTGGTATAACTTAATTGCACATGGGAGTGTCTGTATCGCTGACGTAACCTCTTTGTTTTTTCCTGTTATTTAAAAGTTTATATTTTATAAACTTTTTATATTTTATATTTTATACACTTTTTATATTTTATACACAGGTTTATATTTTTCTGGTTCTTACATATGTGTGTGTATTAAGATCAGTCTGTCTGGTTATACACAGCTATCTCTTTTATTTCCTATTTGATGGACATAAGTGGTTCACATTTGGGTGATAACCGTGTATATGGATTTTACGCACTATCATTCCATCCCTTTAGAGTCTGAGAGTATGTGGGCAGTGGACCTCAAGTTCTACAACCTGATTGTTGTTAGCTTTCATTTAACAAATGCAGACTTCTGAACTTCTAAGATATAACTCCTTCATAGTACTTTTTTCTGCAGCGTTTAACCTAAAGAATGGAAACTATCCTTAGTGAAAACATATGTAGCTATTTCAGTATTTTTGCCTACATTTGATTTTCCAAAGTTGGAGTGCTATAATAGCAATACTGAACCACCTACCAACTTAATTTTCTCATATTCTGTCACAGCTTACACAATGAAAAGGACTGGTGTTTACCTGGTAATGAAAAACCAGAATCCTGTCAGTTCTCCTGGTTTATACTGGCGATAGTCTCTACTAGTACGTCTTGGCAATCATCCGTGTAAAAAGGAGCATTTGCTGAGTAGAGAAAGAAATAAATGCCATAAATGGGTTTTCAGTCCACTTCAAGTGATATTTGGGGGCATTTCTTGCTCTGCAGAGTTTCTCAAGTCTTCATTTCTATCTTCTATTTCTCAGAGCTCAGAGGAGCTTATGGTTGGTTTTCCCTATGTTTTTATGTAATGAAATGTCTTCTTAGAGCTAAGTCTTGATGAGATGAGAGAGAGGAATAGAAGGGGTGTATTATGACAGTTCTCTTGGGTGGACTGTGATGGAATAATACTGCAGTGCAACTAAGAGCAGGCCTGCTATTGTGTGAAGGCACCTGGATCCCCAGCCAGTTCCCAAGGGTGCCTGTACTGTGGCTTACTTAACATGCTCCCAGGTCTGGTGCTCACTACGGTGCTCATACGCTGGGAGTGTTAAAAATAAGATACCCCATACCTACAGGAAACTTATTTTTTTACCCCATTACTCAATATTAACATATAGTTACATTGTCATTTATCCTAGTTTTGAGAAAGTTAACTTATTCCTCGTGATTTGTCTTAACCTTTAGAAAACTGGAGTCTTTAAACATTTGGTTCATAATTTAACAAACTTAGAGAAACGTAACATTTGCCACCATGTCGGGATCATAGAGAGGTATCAGATCAAAGATATTCCAGGATGCTTGAGACTGTAGGCTTTTGCAATTTCAGTGTTCTTCATCTCTCCTAGAGTGTATTATTTATTAAATGGGTGGAATGGGACAATGGGATGCTAGTATTGCTCTTTCAGGTGTGCTGTGGGCATTGTGCGCTGTCAGCATCTAAGTGTAGCCCTAGCAGAGCCGGGAGATGGACGGTATTTGTCATCATGCATCTCGCACTGTCCTGGTGCTGTCCTTGGCCACTCCAGACTTGTCACCACTTGGCCTTCCCTCTATTTCTCATTCAGTGATCTTTACCTGAAGGCTTAAGACATTACTGAATTCTGTAAACTCACTCTTCAAACCTTCATATGAGTCTGTATAATAAAAGCTGCCCCAGAACTATGGCTTCTGAGTCCTCCAGCCATGTGATGTAACTCCCCACTGTTGCTGGTGTCCCGCTGAGCATACCATCTCCTACCACTCCCAAAGCCATCAGTGTCATCTGCAGCTGTGGATAGATGGTCTCCCTTGGAAGCCAAAGCTTTGGTTCCCACTACTTTCCTATGACATTTCCTTGGCGCTGCCCACATCCAGGAGCTCACAGAGCCTTGGTGTTGTATCAGGGAAGTCTCAACACTTGCTGGAGCTGTCATTCAAGGGACTGCCACAGGTGCTGGAGCTGACCTCAGTGCACAGGGAGGAGCCCCGTGTTAGCTGCTGTGCCTGAGCTGCTCTGCTCAAATGAGAGAGAATCCTTTTCTCTTGTGCTCAGCTTTCTTATATTATTATCAGTGTAATTCTGCCTTGTGTTTGGAGTCCCTCACAGTGATTTTAGGTGAAAAGAACATTTCTATGTGGAGAAAAATTGGCACACACCTACCTCATTACCTCTGACTACTTAAGGCTCTAATACAGAGGCTTGAAGAAAAACTCCTGTTCTTAAAAAAAATTTTTTGGTCAGTCCTTGCTTTAACTAAATGGGAGACATTTTTAATCATCCTGTTGGGAGGGTATGGCTTTCTACATTAATCAGTTCATAGAAGATAAAATGGCTATCATTCAGAGGTTTGCTATGTGGCTACCTCCTTGTTAATGAGGAGGCTTGGGTTACTCATCTCAGAAAATCTTTCCTAAGTTTTAAATGTTTCCATATTGAAAAATGATAAATTTGCAAATATCCGGAAATAACATAAAATGAAAGAAACTCAGTATCTGTTTCTCAGAGAAACCATTAAGCCAATGTCTTGAATTATGATAGGTCTGGGTGAGTTTAATACTTAAAAAAATTCAATCACATTGTGAATGCTGTTATTTGGAAACTTACTTGACTGTCTTTAAATGAGTTTTCATTATGTTTTAACAATGACTATATTATCAAAATTGAATTTTCTCAAGTTATGGTAGTAATATAACAGAATGATGATGACTTAAATATTTTTATTCATAATTTTTTATCTCTAAGATAAGTTGTATATAATAAAATGGCTAAATATAAGGAAATATATATATATATGCCTTTTTAAGTTTTTTGATGCCTATCAATAATTGCCATAATATTTTCTACTGAATATCTTTAGATAAAAATGAATACTTATTAAAAAACTGTTAAATGCTTTTACCTTTTAATAAAATTGCTTTAATAAAATTTAATAAAATTGCTTTCAATTTTGCTTAACTGTGTTTTTTGGTATGTAGAAATTTTTAATATTTATGTAATGAAATCTGTATTCATCTTATTGTGTAACTTTTAACTTAAAATCTCTATTCAAATATCACCTGTTTTCAAATTTATTTTGGTGAATAGTCAGAGGTAGTGATCTAAGATAACTTTTTTCCAAAGTTGCTAATTTTAGAGTAGCCTTTAGGAATAATTACTCCTCTCAGTGCTAAGTTTGGGACTATTTTGGACTTTCTTGTTCTCTTCATGTGTTTAGTTTGTACCAGCATCTTAATTTCTGCAGCATAATATTCTCAGAATCTGTTCAAGTTCACATGCAAACTTTTAAAAATATTTCTGACCTTCATATATTTATTCTTCTAGAAAAACTTAATTTTTGGTTAACTTTCAAAAGCATACCTTTGGCATTTTAATTGGGCTTGAATTAATATAGAGGTTAATATGATGGTGCCATAAGAACTGGGATCTTTAAATGCTTAGTGTTTCCACCCAGGACCATATCTTAGCAAATGATTCTTTTATGACTTTGAGTCCTATATGTTTTCTCTAGATATGTTCCTTGGCATATTATTTTTAAAAAGTAAATACATGATAAGAATTTGTATCCTTTGTTCATTTTCCCTGAAAGCCTATTGCTTTTCTAGGACTCCAATGACTCAGGCATACTAGCTTCTTTGTAGATGACTGACATCCTGAGGCCAGGGCGGGACTGAGTGAAGGACACATTGGGACTGACTGAGTCAAGAGCCACTTCCCCTTAGTTTTACTCTAGTTAATAACTGAGTATTTTGAAACTCCTTGAAAAATCATGTGGTAGAAAACTTGGGAAGAAAACACTGCAGCCAATTGCATATATATTTCAGACCCTCCTCTCGTACCTCCCTTACCCTCCAAGGTTGGAGAATCTTAGTTGCAAACACTCAATCCAAAGCTGGGTTTCCTTTCCTGTTCATCTCCTTTTTTATATTATGAAGGGTAGCCTTCAAATATCTCATTAATTCAGAAATATTTAAACTGTATTATCATGCCATGGACCTCAGCATCATGAGAGGAAATGAAGTTCATGTTTGTGAGATGAAAATGGCACCATTTGGGGAACTGACCCTGATTTAATTACCTGTGGCATGAGGGCAAAGGTACAAATAAAGGTGCTTGTGTTTTCTGAAACAAAATAAGCCTTGCATGTTTGGTTTCTCTTCTGATGTGTCTCTGGAAAAGGTCTTCTTGCCACTGACTGACCACAGATCTGGCTGGTGCCGGGGGTGGCATGGGGTCCTCCTTGCTGACAGTGAGCTCTGTGGCTTTTGTAGAAAGGCGGGCCTAGCTTGAGGTATCAGGGTGATTGTGAGTAAATAATCTGTCATGCGTGTGGCATCC